TCAGTTTGTTAGTGTTTGAGCGCTTAATCAGCTGCTTGCACTGTATGCTTCCCGGGAAGCTGAGAATGTTTTGGAGTGTTCTATGGTCTGCTGGGGTAATAATATAGTGTAAAGCGCATAGAGCCTGCTGTTGAGCGGGGATATGCGCTATACAAATGCTATCTATTATTATTATTATTATTTATTAATCATTGAGGTTATTTTTTGTTTCTTGGTTGCATTTTTTCTGGACAGTATGTTTGGTGCTCTGAGAGAATGTAATCGGATCTATTAAAACAAAACAATGAAAAAACAAACAAACCAACAAGCTAAAACAGAAATAAAGAAAACTATCACAAGGCAATGCGGAAACAATTTCAAAGAACAAAGTACCAAGGGAGCCTAAGAAATATTATTCGATGAAAAACATTATCGAAAACAGCGATGTATTAACATGTGCTGCCTGAGCGTGATAAAACCAGTTTTTTGTTGTTGTTGTGTAGGGCCAAGAAGGTTGCAAATAGAACGGAGGCTGCAACGATGGTAGCAACGTATGCCTGACAGAGGCCCTCTCTCGTCGAGGAATTATGGTCAAACTGTACCGATCGTTGCTAGACTCTCGCACTGAAAGCTATTATTTGGCCAAGTTAGTTTGTAAAAATATAATGCTCTAAATCAACAGGCATTAGTAAGAATGCTCTCATAATAAATTGTGTAGGCTGCTTTCCATTGTGTGTGCACATTAAAAGCAGCATTAATTACACATAAAGCAAGCGATGACACTCCCCTTGATTCATGCAATTGTCGAGTAAAATTTCAATATTTGGTTTCTACCAAGTTTTATAATAACTAATTCTTTCAGCAGGATATTAAAGTAAGATTTGCTCTCCTGTCTACCATTATGACAACTATTTTCTTCTTATCCCCCCCCCCCCCCCCCCACACACACACCTCCAACCCATCATTTTTCTTGATTTTTAAACTACTGAAACTCGGACTCAACGAACTCAGATTCATCGAAAAAAGATAGAACTCCCTGTTTTATACATATTCATTAAAACCACCATAATAACTCAGATTCAGCGAACACATAAATGAGCGAACTCGGATTCAACGAAGTCACAACGTACCTTTTCTACTCTTTTCCAAGAAACCATCGATCGCACTTACACCGTGGATTATTACATGCTTGTTCTAGCCTATTGTGTACATCTTATACGTTCGATCAGAAACTTTTTTCACATTAACAAGTGCATTGTTATAGTCTGGGCAACACAAAATAGACATCGATCTCATTGCATAGATTCTATGAGGTGAATTGCTCTGATTATTTGCATGCGTCTCTGAATTCTAAAAGACCTAAAAAAATCGCGATGTTCGTGCATACGTGATAAATATAAAGAGGTGCTGTCTATATAATCAATTGTAATTAATTGCTCATTAAACTCAACATCATGCACTTTTTATAGCAAGCACGGTACCATGGTAAAACCATTAAGAATACAGCATGTCATTGTAGGGGCTTAGCCAAAAATTTCCCAGGGGGGGGGGAGATAGAGTTTGGCTAAACCCAAAACCGGGGATCAACAGATCGCTAAATTTGAAGCGCTAATGGGCATGTCACATGAGCACCCCAACCCTTCCCCAAAGTGAAAGTCCATAGGCAGAGCCTCCCCCTCCCCCACCCCTTCAATACACAAACATTTTCGAACCCCCTGAATATGAAAGTTGTATTATTGGAAGTATTATGCGTCTTTGTTATTTGTTTTTCCACTGGATTTTCATCCTCTTCGATCCATCTGAGCAGCGTAGTCCTGGGTAGTCCTACGGCGTGCCTTATCCCTTTTTCGGAATTGTTAATATATTGAAAGAGACGCCTCGATTAGCTTCTTAGGAAAAAGAGTTTAGTAGCTGTAGGGTAGCGTAATTTTTTTTTGGGGGGGGGGGCGGGGGGTAAATTAGTTGATCAAACCATAGAGATTTAGGGAAAAAAGCAACAGCAAATTGAAACGTGTGCCATCACTGTGAAGATAATATGGAAACAAAT